CATCAGAAGTGTGTCAATGACTAGTCCGTAGTTGTCTCGTTGGACGATATTCAGGTGGATGGGAGCCTGAACTACATTGATAGGCCGATTACCATCTTAGATAGGAAGATGAAGGGTCTTCGGAACAAGGAGGTGAAACTAGTGAAGGTGCAATGGCAGCATTGAAGGGGCTCCGAATGGACTTGGGTGCCGGAGGAGGAGATGCGGGAGCATTATCCCGATCTATTCGCAGGTATGGAATTTGAGGACGAAGTCTAGTTCAAGTGGGGAAGAGTGGTAACACTCCAAATAAGGTATGACCTTGTAACCATTGAAGTATTTCTATTATATCATAAGAGACCCTTAAGTACGCTTAGCGTACTTGGCAAGGAGAATCGCGAAGAGGTAGCCCGTGCATTGGGCGTACCAGGAGTACACTGGGCGTACGTGCCAGGATGTTCAAACCCTAAAATCTGGTCTTGAGACATATATAAAGACCTTTAACTCTTTTGAGCCTCACCCTTAACAGCCTCCTTCACCTTCAAACGCCTCTGAAAACCCTACTATCATTTGTGAGTGCATTTTGAGCTTCAAGAGTGCATTTTTGGTCCTTTTAGTGTTCATCCAAGAAGAAGAAGTTATCAAAGAAGCTTGGAGTGTCATTTGGCTTCAAGAACATGCATATTGTCAACCTTGAGGAGCTCCTGGAGGTATAAAGCTTGCACCTTTCCATTTAAATCAGTAGAACTAGCTAGGGTTTTCTAGTTTTGTCCCTTTAGTTGGTTTTGGATCTCCACTTGTGAGATAAGCAACTCCAAAGGATGGAAATGACAGATCTGAGGTCCTTTGTTCCTTCTTTAACATAAAAATGGAGTCTTGGTAGGCATTTTGACCACATGCCTGGGTTAAGAGCTTTAAAAAGGTTTTAGTGAGGGTGTTGGTAGCATATGCGACATGTAAAGGCATAAAGTTGCCAACTTTATGCCTTAGGTCGTCTTAATAGGGTTAGATCTGACTTCTGGACGTAAAAGAATCAAGTATTAAGCACTTAATGGAAAAAGTGCTTAATCTGTTAGTACACTGGGCGTAACCCAATGTACGTTGTGCGTAATCCTTAGAACCTGTGACATCCCTAAAATCACGGCCAGAAAAGACCGATTTTTGTTTATGCTTTATGAAAATCAGAGTACTTCATTTTATGAAAAGGTTGCGGAATTTGTTCCCAGAAAAACATGATAAATACGTTATTTAAACATTTTCGAAGAAACGTATTTTTATTCATCTTAAAACGTTTGGGATGTCATCGTTAATACCGAAACATAAGCATAAACAGAACTTACAATGATTTACACTAGTGATCTATAGCTCTTTAAATCTCTCAGTGTAAAGTCACTTCACTTCGTCACCTGTGATATACATAAACTGAGTGGGTCAGGTTGGGAAACCTGGTGAGTACATAGGGTTTTCAACCCACAATAATATAATTGTTATGTTTAATCATCAAACAATTAACCCCATTACCCATTCCCGTTATCTTCTTTACTCTTAAGGATTTAACCTAAGAGTCATCTATTATTCATTCGTTTGTTCCGAAGTCCCTTACTTCCAAGGTTATAGGACTGGCACTAAATCCATAGCTGCCGATGTTAGTTCGTAAAGCACTAATTCCATAGCTGCTATATCCTACTCATCGGGTACTAAATCCATAGCTACCAGTGTTCAACAGGTACTAAGTCCATAGCTACCGATTCCTACAGGTACTAAGTCCATAGCTACCAGTGTCTAACTAATAGGTACTAAGTCCATAGCTACCAACAGGTACTAAATCCAAAGCTACCAACGTCTAACAGGTACTAAGTCCATAGCTACCGGTGTTTGTCCCATAGGCACTAAGTCTATAGCTGCCAATGTATACTCACGTCATCTTCTATCTCTCATCATTCATCTACCCATCATCATACCCAACATATTCGTATATATAAAATACGTATACAGTTTAAATCCTTTTAAAACATGTATAAAACGTTCACCCAACATAGACAGCAAGTATTCAGATAATATGCACACATAACACGTAGTTTATATAAAATACTTCATATCTATGTGTAAGATGAAAGGGACCATGCACTCACCTGATTAGGTGGTGACTCAGCACTCGGACAGCGCTTCGATACTCTCAAAACGATGTTCCTTCGATAAAACCTAGTACCGATACAACTAGGGTTTAGTTTAACGATAACCGCGACTCATTAATCAGTTTGACTATTATTAAGCATTAATAATGCTCAATATAACTCATAATAATAGCCCAAATAATTATTTTAAGGACCTAATAACATTCCTATAATTATTTGGAAGCTATATTAAAAATTGCGTAAGCGTAGCATACTTACAGCGAATTTTATCGAAAATCGGAACTTAATTGGAGCAGCGTTTCGAAACCAAAAAACTCCTTTTTCTCGGGACTCCAGGAGCCTCGGGGCTTCCTTAGGGTGCTAGGGGTTCACCTAGACCTTAGGGAGGGTTTGGAACCTTAGAGAGAGAAAGATTTTAGAAAGAGAGTGAGAAATGGTGTGAAAAATCCGGAGAAGTTCGCATGTATTTATAGGGCCGAAGGTTGCCTCTACGCGGGGCGTACCGAGGGTACGTTGGGCGTACTCCTCGGGTGTGGATGACAGCCGAAGCCAGCTGTCTCGCAGTCACCGAACGGATGCGCGGGGCGTAGAGCGAAGCGACGCGGGGCGTAGGGCGGAGCGACACGGGGCGTTCCCTTTGTATGCGAGGCGTAACGAGGCCAGGTGTCCGAATCCGAAGACCAGACCGTGACCAACAAGCTACGGCCCTGATCGGGCCACGTCACCCCCCTCGCACAGATTTCGCATTTTCAAGCTTCAACTTTAAAAATTCGTAACTTTCACATACGAGCTCCGTTTTCGATGTTCTTTATATCCACGCGAAGGTGGGAACCTACTCTACAACTTTCGTTTAGACTTCGTTGGCTAATTTTGGCTCGATTTTAAATTTTATATTATTAATGGGCCGGGACACGATTGATCCGTTAAATCCTCGTAACTTCTTCATCCGACATCCGTTTTTGCCCATATTTTTCTCGTTACGCTACTCTCAACAAGATCTTTGATTCTCATTCAGGCCGTGTCGGCTAAAACCCGCTCGATCTAATATTCGAATTTCGGGTTGTACACTGCTAGTCCGAAACTTCGAAAAATCATAACTTCTTCATACGAAGTCAGATTTGGGCGTTCTTTTTATCGATGTTCTTAGTTTAACATATTATACGACTTTCATTTAAATTGCTAAGGCTAAATCTCGCTCTATCGTAAATTCATTATTTACGCTTTCCGGTATCGTACCGGTTCCGTTGCGAAACTTTAACGGGCCATAACTTCTTCGTTATAACTCGGATTTCGGCGTTCTTTATATGCACGGAAACCTTGTGACATATACTAACACTTGGTTAAGATTATTTATTCTAAATAATCTTTTGTCGAAAAGTCGTTTTCGACTCCTATTGCCTCTAAATTGACTAGCCCGGATCTACGGGCGTTACAGAACCCTAGTACGATGGGCGTACCTGGATGGTATGCTAAGCGTACACATCACAGTTGAGCGTCGTTCTGTTTTGGGATTTTGGACTGTTAGGCCTCATTTGGTTTTTGGGCTTGGTTACATTTTGAGAGTAGTGGGCCATTTTATTTGTTTGGGCCATTAGTGTTATGATTGGGTCTTAATGGGCCAAGAGGCCCATTACTGATTTTTGGACATAGACTTTGGGCCCATTAGCAAATAATGGATATTTGGGCCTTCATGGAGGGACTTGGGGTTTGGGTTTTCCCTTTGATTGTGATGTCCTAACATGGGTTAATATTATCTTTTAGCACGGGAGGTTACCGACTGTTAGGAGAGTAGCTTTCGCATTCAACAGACTGATGTGAGTCTCTTCACCATACCAATGGGTCTAAGGCACCAAGGCCGACCCATTCTTGATATGTAGTTTCCTAGCTGAAATTATAGTATTTTGCATGATAGTTGGTACGAGTTAGGAAGTATGTTAGCAGTATATGTGGTATGTTTGTATGGAAGACCATGGGAGAGCTCATGACACTTGGATGTAAGACCATTAGGAGATCCCATGGCTTTCCTATCAATGACCATGGGAGAGCCCATGACACTTAGGTGTAAGACCATGTGGGGAGCCCATGGCATCCTGGAGTAAGACCCTGGGGACGAGCCCACGATATCCTTATCTGTTATATGCAAGGTTTATGTGATATGTGTGAGGCTTTATTTAGCTAAGCAGATATGTATATGTGTATTGTGTGTGGTATGCTTTGGGGGAATTCACTAACCATTTCGCTTACAGATTGTTGATTTGTTTTACGTACATCTGAGCCTAAGGGCAAGGGCAACTCGTGATGGCGGGCCGTGCACTCTCTCACCGACATTTTATGGGACACTCTGATATTCTGGAAATGAAGTTGTAATGAATATGGTTTTGAAAACAATTGTAATTGTTTTTGTGGCTGATGAACATACATTTTGTATAATTAAAAATGAAAAAAATTCTTTTGAAAATTTGGTCGTTACATGAAACCGATAAATTAGAATTCATAATCGAAATCAAAATGTTGGAAACTCCGACACTTTCATGATGAAACCCCAACTGAAACGATTAATGAAGCATATCATATTTGAAGCCGATCATGGTGCTCTCAGGCCATCGGTTCTCCTTCAGCCCTTCCCGTGAATGTTTCTAATAGAAGTGAGCATGGATGTCGTTAAGGCTTTGGGAGAGAAAGACAGAGAGTGATAGAGAGAGGGAGGAGAGAGAGAGATAAACACACAAAGAGTAGATGGTCATTTCCAATTCGCATTATGTTTTTCTTAAACCAAATGATGATCGTTTCATAGAAATAACGTGGCTTTGTAGTGTATATCGGGATCAATGGCGCCTTTAGAGTGGTTTTCGGCGAAGTAGACAGGTGGTAGAGGATGTCGACAGTCTAGGGTGGCCCAAGAGTGTAAATCGATGCTTTGTGACTGCTCGATGTAGGCTTTAAAGAGGATTTGGCAAAGTATAAAGGTGGTGAGGCATGGTAGGCCGCTTTGCTGAGGTTCCCGGCTGGTGGTGGCGGCTTGGCAGTGGTTTCCGACGGCGATGGGTTTGGTTGTTCGTTAGGGTTCTTGAGTCTAAAGAAGATGAAAATATGTAGCTGGTAAAAGGTGGGGGTAGTTGGGAAGGAGCCACATGTATTTTTTTTATTTAAATTCTTTGTTTTAATCAGATTTAGATAATAATAATAATATAAATAAATAAATAAAATTTAATTAAAAAAGAAATGAATGAGGGTAAGTTAGTCTATTTAGAACGGACGGGAACCAAGCATGCAACAAAAGTATAAAGTAGGGACGGTCTGAGTTAAAAAAACTTGTTAGGGACCAAACACACAAATTACCCTAAACCACAAGGATCATCCATGTATTTTACCCTAAAATTTATAGATTTATAAATAGACTCATTTATATGTAGATGCCGCATCGACATCAAATAGATTTGTACCTATGAATGTCTTGTTATCATCAATTGGAATATGTAAAAACTAGAAACAATAACATAATAATGGGAAAATGACTCAGGATGGTAACCAACTATTAAGTTTGTTCACATTTGGTACATTTTTTTGTATTCAATATACTATCAAACTTGTTGTTTTTGCTCACTATAACCCTTTTGAGCGGCTATCACAGGTGATAGCCCGTCAAAAGGGTTATGGTGAACATAAACAACAAGTTCGATGGTATATCGAGTACAAGAAAAAAGAGACTAAATTTGAACAAACTTAAAGTTGGTTACTCTCCCGAGTCATTTTTCCTTTACTAATTTACATAAAATCTCGTGTCATCTCCTATTCATATTAATGAGTTTATGAGATTCATTCTTGATTCTCTTTAAAACATAACCCACAAAGAACATTATTCATATATGTACAACTTTGTAATGCACTTGAATATTTTTTAGATGAATCTTGATTGAGCAGGTGCATTTCATGACTATATTTACATTTCCAATCAAATGATTTATCATATCATGGATAAATTAATAATTATTAATTTAAAGAGTTGGAAGGTTATGAGTTGGACATTTCTTCCCTAGAAAAGATTAATATTTTAGATGTGATCAACTTGGTTGTCTCGGCTTGGAGGAATGTGAAAAAGAGTCCATAGCAAATTTCTTTCAACACTGTAAAATTTCTTCCGTTAATCCAACCGGCTCAAATGATTTAAATGATATCAATTCTGGAGAAGACATTCTGTGAGTTTAAGAACTCGATTACGGGAATGCACTATTGACACAAAATGGTAGTGAATGAGTTGTTCGATTATCCAGGTGACAATAATGAATGTTACGAAGTTCAAAGTATTGAAGAAATTATCTCGGATACCATTCAAAATTCAGTTGATGATGATTCAGTACCTTTGGAACTGGTCACTCTGAAAGAAGCATTGCAAGCGACAACAACTCTTCACAACTTTTTATTGCAATATGTGAATACATTGCCTGAACTCTTATGTGCAATTAGGAGATTTAAAGATGAACTCAATATAGATTTGATGTTCACAAAAGGGATAATGACTTGAAAGGGTAATGAACTTTTGATTTTGTTCACATTTAGTCACTAAACTTTTTTTTTTTCATTATCTATTTGCCACTGAACTATTGAAACTGTTCACATTTTACCCTTATGACCGACAACAACCGGTCATAATTAGGTAAACCATAATGCAAGAGGAAAGTTTGTTCACATTTAGTCATTGAACTTTTTTAAGATGGAAACGAACTTTTGATTTTGTTCAGATTTAGTCACTAAACTTTTTTTATTATCTATTTGCCACTGAACTATTGAAACCGTACACAATTTACCCTTATGACCGGTTGTTGCCGATAATAAGGGTAAAATGTGAACAGTTTCAATAGTTCAGTGGCATTTAGATAATGAAAAAAAGTTTAGTATTTAGATAATGAAAAAAAGTTTAGTGATTAAATGGGAACAAAATAGAAAGTTCATTACCCTTTCAAATCATTATCCATTCACAAAAAAACAAGTGACTATAAATTCATTCTTTACTAAACAATTCTAAAATTTTGGAATATTATAGTAATTATTAATTTATAGTTTCATTGAGACCAATAAATTTACATTGGGATTTTAAAAAAAATTACTCATTATTTTATTATTTTATCGATTGTGGTACAATTTTATAATTATCTCATGTTAGAACCGGTCTAATTATTAATTTTATGGAAATTATTAATTTATTGAGTATTAAATTATAGAGGTTTTACTGTACTTAGATTTAAGATCAAATTCATGGATAAGATACAACATCAATGGGAAAATGATTCGAGAGGGGTAACCAACTGTTGAGTTTGTTCACGTTTGATCATTTTTTTTTACTCAATACATCATCGAACTTGTTTGTGATCATCATAACCCTTTTGATCGGCTATCACAGGTGATAGTTGGTTAAAAAGATTATGGCGAAAACAAACAACAAATTTGATAAAAAAAAAAAAATTAAATGTCAACAATTAGTTACCTGTATCGTTTTCTCTATAATGATTAATACAAAATTAACTACTTAAATCGTCCACTACACAATGATAAATTTGATGGAGTAGAATAACAAATTAAGATTCAAGGAGCTGGTTCACATTCTTTAACAATATCCCAAAAAAACGAAAAACACGTAAAATAGAATTTTACGAAAGTTACGTGGTATAATATGTATATACGCCTCGTGTTTTCTTTGAAGACTTTTATGCAAATCATGTAATAATACAATAACATGACATGAATGCTTTTCTTGACTTAATTTACAAACAAATTATTACCTTTTCAAGCTTGAAGCAAAAGACTTGCCAAAAATAGCCATATTCACATCTAAAATAACCTCATCCATGTATATGCTAAATCCAAAAAAAAAAAAACAAAAAAACAAAACAAAACTATCTGTAAGTTTTAATCCAGTATTTATGTGTTACGTTGTATAATAAATTACAAGAATGTATCAATAGATTGACTATTCGGACATAATTTTTTTCCGATATACATATCTGTAGGCATGTATGTACCTACACTAACATGTCTCTCTAATACAATTCTATTCTAATACTGACAAGAGAAATGAAAGAATGAAATAACATCCAACCACAAAATTGCATACTAAATAAATGAAAAAAAAAAACATATAAAAATTGGAAAGTCATCAATGGCCGACGCCTGGGCTTGGGACGGAGCGGAGGATCCGGTCGATGGCAATGAGGTGGCGGGTGATGAGCTTCTCGTCGGTTGTTGATGCATGACCCTTTTTGCTCGGAGTAGAAGCCGGCACAGTTCCCTTTGGAAGAGCAGTTAAGTATAAACTCATTTCCACCGGAGATGCTTCCCGCGTGTTTAACAGTTTCCGACCATTTGAGGAACATGTAAATAGAACCAGTATTATGAAGAGAGCAAGACATGTTCGAGCCATTTCAATATCTCTGTGTGTGTATGAGAGAGAGAGAGAGAGAGAGAGAAAGAAAGGGAATTGTTGTGAGAGATTTTGGAGTTGATCTTTGAAGAAGAAGATGAGATGGTGAATATATATATATATATATATATATATATATATATATATATATATATATATATATATATATATATATATATATATATATATATGAAAATTATGAAAATATTTTATCCAATGTTTGACACCAAATTTCATGTGTATTGAGTGGCCTTAGAGATTTCATCTAAAAACAATTTGTTTGCTTATTGAAATTTTAAAAAGTTAACAAGTCACAGAAAACTGTAACTTTTTTTCTTTTTAAACTGTGATTTGTTAAATTAAAACTAAAACAGAATAAAAAAAATTAAAATATATTAATACCATAATATATTCTATCCGAATTAATTAATAATAAAAAGTTACTAAAACAAAATTTTCATTCAATATTATTTAAGAATATTATCCTAAACTAATAATTGATGCTAGAGTTTATAGGTCGTTCAGAATTTTTTTAATTTTTAAAAATAACTTGACGATGTATATAGAGTCAAGATCAGTTAAAAACTTATAATTTTCCAAAGCTGAAATCCGTTTTTGACTTAATCCGTTAATTCGCGTAAATATAAATTTTGTAAAAAATAATATCTTTTAGAGAGTGAGAGATCCACGAAATTTGCGGCAACTCAAATGTTGACTCTGTCTGTCAATTTGGAATGGTACACGCTTAACCTACACGGGCTTGGTTGCTTTTATTAGAATTTTGACAAAATTAAAAAGATTTGATATGATTTTAGTAAGATAACCATTTTATTAGTATCATCGTATTGTATGGGAAAATTACATGTAATATTCTATTTTAGTACAACTTTCATGTTTGGGATTGTCCTTTTCATTCTTTAAAAACTTGTTATAAGCTTGTATAGAAAAGAAATCGTTTTACCAAAAGTTGATCACCATTTTAGACAATTCTCTAAATTTGGTTACAAATGTATAATATTATCACTCATGCATTATTTTTAAATAAAATACAATTCATTAAAAGTAGTTTGTACGTTGAATTTACCTTTTTATATTTATGACATCCAATTTACAACACATTTTTAAATATCAGAAACATAAAACCACTGCACTACGATACTATTATTATATATTTTTTTCTTGCATTTCTTTATTTTCTGTTTTCATTACATTCGTAGTAGCTCTGTCGAAAATACCCGATACCCGAATTACCCGCCTGATTTTTCGGGTATCGGGTAAATCGGATCGGGTAAATCGGGTATCGGGTAAATTTTTCCGGGTAATCGGGTTATCCGATTTTTTCGGGTCGGGTAAAGGGTACATTTTTTGGGTTTCGGGTATACCCGAATTACCCAAATTATTTAAATTTTTTTTTTTTTTTGTAAAGCTTGTACTATATAGTAGGTATTTGATCACGTTTAAACTAATATCATTATTATAAAACATAAATATATTTATTATGACAATACGACACTAACAATATTAAAAGTAATTTTTATATATCATCACGTTCTTTAAAACTTAACTGTTTTCTATATTATAGTTTTTATTACAACTAACAAACTCATTATTTTGACGAAACTTTAGAACATGACAAAACTTATGACTACATTTATCTTAAACATTTTAAACTTTTAAATTAAGATCTTTAGGTATTTGTTTTTTTAACATTTTATTAGATTAGATTAAGTCGTTAAAAAAATACTTGATATCTCATTTATTATTGAGTAGAAAATCTCAATGTTCAAAGCTTGAGTAACTTCGTTTATATCTCGTTTGTTTATATAAACAAGACTAATAAAGCACAACGTATTTATTTCATTAAATTTATTTTTAGGTGAAATTCAATAAAAAAATCATATATTTCGGGTAATACCCGAATTACCCAAACCCGACCCGATACCCGAATCACCCAAACCCGAATTACCCGAATTTAGTTTGGGTAGGGTAACGGGTAATTTTTCTAACATGAAAAACCCGAATTACCCGACCCGAATTACCCGAAACCCGAAAAAATTACCCGTTCAACACCCCTAATTCGTAGTAAAATTGATTTCGTCTTTGACTTTTACCGGTCAAATGCACTATTTATTATCCAAAAGGCCGATAGACTTCACTTCAGTCGTATGAAACAATTAATCAATCTGTAATAACTTATAAAACAAAAAAAAAAAAATCTAATCCAATTATAAGCTACATAACTGATCTTATATTTTAATCTGTGACATTTAATCATGTATCGTAAATTGAAATAAAAGAAGCACACGTATTAACAATCAAGAGAGGTTAGAGTTCAAACCATTTAGTCATATGTGAAGGTAACAATATAAAGTAATGGAATAAAAATAATTAATTTTATTACGTGTAATCATAGACTGGATCATGATATTTAAATCGTATCAAATATTAGTTGTGCTTTAATTGGATACTGGGTGACGTCAGGTCGGTTAATTTGTTCCCTCTTTTTCTGGGGTACTTCGTGGTTCGTAGGGAGGAAGAGTCAAAGGATGTGAACCTTTGAGTTTTGACCTACCAAACTGGACCCATGTCTCATGACTCAGCCGGCTTGACTATATTCACGGATACACGTTTATGCGGCTGGCTACTTACTCCCTCACATGTTGGTCATGTGCTAAAAGATTGCCGATGACTTTTATGTCCCTTCTTGTTAGAAAACTTTATGATAGTTTCTTAATGGTAAATTTCACAAAAAAATTATTATAATAATTTAATTTTAATATTATGTTTTTTTTTTTTGTCTTAAATTGATTTTTTTTTATCGTTTTGTTATAATTCAAACCACTTAACTAATCAACCAGATTGTCAGTTGTCGTTTCAGTTTTGAGGCATGACATGCCAATATAGCATAATTACGAGATTATTTGGCGACGTCATATTCTGAGTGTGAAAAGTAATAAAAAAAAATCTAAAATATAGATTTTTATGATAGTTATACAAAATGTAATGATTTTTGTGAAATTTCCAAAATATAATGACTTTCATTAGTTATATAAAGTGTAACGACAAAAAAATCAAGGGTAAAAAATTTATTTTTATTATAGACAAAACACAAATATCGTTTAATTCAATATTCCAAATTATTGCTAATTAAAAACATTTATCAGAGTTTATCCTAAAATCACATATTGCGGAAAACACGGATGTGTGCGCTGTCATCAAGTCGGTCCCTTCATTTCCAAATCAATGAAACCTGAAACCATAAAAAAAAACTGTAAGCATAAAGTTTAGTGAGTTCCCCAGAGCATACCCTACATAATCCACATAATCACGTAAATCATATCAACCACATAAGCCCTGCATATAAACATATAAGGACGTAATGGAAACCCTCCAAGGTCTTACACCATGTGCCATGGGAACCCCCGCGTGGTCTTAGCCCATTACTATATAAACCATACATACAAACATATAAGGATGCACTAAAATCCTCTAGGGTCTTACTCCGAGTGCCATGGGAACCCCTACATACTCTTAGCCCAATGCCTCCGGAACCCCTCGAGGTAGCCCAAAACCCAAAATCCCACTCTGTTGAGTACGTGGGGCGTACTCAGCTTGTACGCTAAGTATATTAGCTTAAGAGCTTATACGCTACACGTACAGGCTTGTACGCCCAACGTACTCCTCCTGATGATCAACTCTCAATTCTAGCTCTTAATCCATTAAGTTAAGATGTCCAACACCTCAGAATAGCCAAATATAAGTGACTTGATCCATAAAATCGAATGCTTTAAGCCTTTGCATGGCTTAATGAAGCCTAAACACCAAATATGAATTCCAAAAGGTCAAAATCACTCCTAAAATGTCTTAAAGCTTCTTAATACCTTAAGACCTCAATCCAAACTTCCATATCTAATTTCAAGGGACTTCTTAAATCATAAAGTTTCCAACTTTATGACTTAGCATAACTTAATGGGGCCTAAATCAAAACCTGAAGTCCCAAACTTCATTGAATAACTACCAAATCATGCATGGAATGTTTATACCCATCAAGATCTAAACTTTATGACTCCATAACCTCAATAAGGACCAAATATGAAGCTCAAGGGTTCTGGAGTAACTTCTACTCACAAGAACCACCTCAAAGGGACCAAAACCATAACAATATACCACTTAGTTAGATCTACATTAAAATTTTGTCAAGGTTAAGACTTTATACCTCCAGAAGATAGATCTAGGTGCATAAAACTTGGATCCAAAAGATCCAACTCAAACAATGACTCTTCTAGAAGTTCCTTCTTCTTCCTCAAGCACCAAAACACACAAAAAAATCACTTTGAAGCTCTACAATCACTCAAATGCGGGCTAAGGGTCGATTTCTATGCTTTAGAGGGATGGAGGTTGAAGATGTTAGGGTTATGTTATGAGATAAGGAGCTTAAATACGGTCCAAGACCCTAAAATAGGGTTCTAATTTGACTGGCGTACGTCTAACGTACATATGGTATGTCCAACGTACTCCAAAGAGCATTCACAACCATCCTAGTCAGTACAACCAACGTACTCCAAGGTAAGCCCCGTGTACTGCCTTCTTCACTAGTACACCCCGCGTACTTGGTTAAGCCTAAAAACCATGAAACTTCTAAAGGCCATAACTTCTTTATTATAAGCCTGATTCTAACGATCCTTCTATCCACGGAAAGGTAAAGATAAGCCCTACACTTCTATCAACTCATAGCTTTCTTAAGACCTTATGAATAAAAATCCATTATCCAAAAAATCCCAAACTGACACTTTAGTGAAATACCCCTAGGCCCCAAAACATGAACTGAACACTCGGATCACTTTTAATACATCACCCGCACCTAAATGGGCCTAGATCTTACCTTTTCAAAAGAGCTAATCCTTATGATGACCAATCTTCGGACCACATCCTCAGACTAGGAATCGATTCGGAATAGGGCGTTACAACTCTCCCCCACTTAAATTAGATTTCGTCCTCGG